GGTGGGGCTGACCTCCACGCACAGTCTCGGTTCTGGAACCGTACTCCTTAATAGGGGATGGACACTATTCTTCTCTGGAGTTGCTCAAAATGTGAGGTGCCTGGCGGGTGTGGGGATATTCACAAGTCCCCAGCTGAGCGCTGCTACGTTGGAGTTTACTCCGGTGAACGAGAGGGTCGCCTCCCTACGCCTTCAATGCACCGACGGCCCGAAGGGCTGCAGTCTCTGCTGTGGCAGATGCAAAGCAGGGGTGTGGAAGAAGTTTGGAGAAGACATAGAGAAGGAATTTCGGTCCGCACCAAAGTGTTTCTGGAGAACTGTCCACCATCTCAGGACGGGGAAGCGGGGAACCGTCCAAGCTGTGTACAGTAAGGATGGGGCCCTGTTGACCTCAACTGGGGAGGAAATTGGGCGGTGGAAGGAACACTTTGAGGAACTCCTACATACGATTGACACGCCCTCTCTAGTAGAGGCAGAGCTTGAGGCTGATGGGGAGATTCTCGTCAATTTCCCTGGTGGAAGTCACAGATGTAGTCAAACAACTAGACAGTGGCAAAGCCCCAGGGATTGATGAGATCCGCCCAGAAATGCTAAAAGCTTAGGGTGTGGAGGGGCTGTCTTGGATGACACGTCTCTTTAACATTGCATGGAAGTCGGGTACAGTGCCCAAGGAGTGGCAGACTGGGGTGGTGGTTCCCCTGTTCAAAAAGGGGGACCAGAGAGTGGGTGCCAATTACAGGGGTATCACACTTCTCAGCCTCCCCGGTAAAGTCTACTCCAAGGTGCTGGAACAGAGGGTTCGGCCGATTGTCGAACTTCAGATTGAAGAGGAACAATGCGGTTTTCGTCCCGGGCGTGGAACAACTGACCAGCTCTTTACTCTCACAAGGATCCTGAAGTGGGCTTGGGAGTATGCCCATCCAGTCTACATGTGCTTTGTAGATCTAGAGAAGGCGTATGACCAGGTCCCTCGGTGCCGCGGGAGTATGGGTTGAGGGGGGCCCTTCTCGGGGCTATCCAATCCCTGTACATCCAAAGAGAGAGCTGTGTCCGAGTATTCGGCAGTAAGTCGGACTCTTTCCAGATGAGGGTTGGCCTTCGCCAGGGCTGCACCTTGTCACCAATCCTGTTTGTGATATTCATGGACAGGATATCGAGGCATAGTCGTGGCGAGGAGGGGCTGCGGTTCGGTGGGCTTGGGATCTCGTCACTGCTTTTTGCAGATGATGTGGTCCTGATGGCATCATCGGTCCGTGACCTTCAGCTGGATCTGGATCGGTTCGCAGCCGAGTGCGAATGAGGACTAGCACCTCTAAATCTGTGGCCATGGTTCTCAGCAGGAAACCGGTGGAGTGGTCCTTACCCCAAGTGAAGGAGTTCAAGTACCTCGGGGTCTTGTTCACGAGTGAGGGGAGACTGGAGCCGGAGATTGGCCGGAGAATCGGAGCAGTGGGGGCGGTATTGCATTCGCTTTACTGCACCAAAAAGAGAGCTGAGCCATAAGGCAAAGCTCTCGATCTACCGGTCGATTTTTGCTCCTACCCTCACCTATGGTCATGAAGGCTGGGTCATGACCAAAAGAACGAGATCGCGAGTACAAGCAGCCGAAATGGGTTTCCTCAGGCGGGTGGCTGGTGTCTCCCTTAGAGATAGGGTGAGAAGTTCGGCCATCCGCGAGGAGCTCAGAGTAGAGCAGTTGAGGTGGTTTGGGCATCTGGTAAGGATGCCTCCTGGACGCCTCCCTAGGGAGCTGGGAGGAGGCCTCGGGGAAGACCCAGGACTAGGTGGAGAGATTATATCTCCACACTGGCCTGGGAACACCTCGGGATCCCACAGTCAGAGCTGGTTAATGTGGCTCGGGAAAGAGAGGTTTGGGGTCCCCTGCTGGAGCTGCTCCCCCCGCAACCCAATCCCAGATAAGCGGATGAAGATGGATGGATGGATGGATGGATGGATGTTTTTACCTTGCTTTTATTATCTTTCCTGTAACTTTGAGATTTGTTTCAAATGTAAAGTGCATTACAAATAAAATGTATTAATATTTGTATTAGAAATTGTTGTTTGTGATTGTTGTTTGTATCTGGATGGATTTGTTGTGTTAACTAAAATAACTAGAATAACAAACAAACAAACTTTGCTTACATATTTTCCAGGTCCGTCTGTTCTTTGGCGAGGTGGAGTCTGTCATTGTGTCAATCACGATAGGAATGTTCAAAAAGTACGACTGACAGATGTAAAAAGTACTCTATAAGATATGGTAAGTTTAAATATGGTGTTTAGAATCTTATTCAGTGCAAATAGCAGTTTTCTCAGGAAGTTGTTTGATGTCCTCTGTGGCCCTTTAATTGATGTTGGTTTCTAAAAATACATTTGAAATAGTTTTTTAAAGCGCACACAGTAAATTGAAATTAGTATCTTACTATCTGGGGGAAGTGTGAGGCACGCCATGAGCTTTTCTCTCCGTAGATGTTACTGAACTTCATCTGAATGTTTGTTTGCAGAGTGTCGTTGTTTGACGACCAGTCCATGTGTAACAACAGTCATCATCACGCCAACAGCGCCTGACCTCTGCTCAGTGTGAGTCTCACCACTGCACATCAACACATTTGTCTGACAGCTTTAGTTTCTTTTCAGATTACAGTTTTTCATCCCCTTCCTGTCCAGTGAAAACCACATAGCTTCATACGTTTGCGAAAATCCTCCTCCTTCAGCTAAATAAACAATTTAAACGCTCCTTGGATCAGCTGGAAAATGCCAATGTCAGTGTTTTTATTAGTTGCTTTTTGTAACACCAGAGTACACACAACTCATCACTGCCAGGTGAAGGTGAGTTTGAAGGGGGACAAAAACGTACTAGCATTCTGATGTTAGCCTTTAACAAGTGCAGCCACACAGAGCTGATAGCATGACTGGACATTAATAAAATGAGAATTTAGTTATAGTTATAATAACATTGGCACCACACAAAGGAAATGCGTTATACACTGAGAAAACAGGTGGATGCAAATCTCGGCAGGTAGAAAATCAGTTTTGCCAAATAATACACTCACCTCAAGTTTGTTTTAAGACACTTGAGAATCAAAAATTGTTACAAGCTACTTTTTGGGGCTGTTTTGACTTGACATAAAGAATATCATACTTTTAACACTCACCTGGTCTGAGGAAGGAAGGGATGCAAATCTCGGCAGGTGACCTCATTATTCATTGTTTGTGTAAACACCTTAGTCAGAATATTTTGTCCATGGTCATTGTAGCTCTGGACGTGAGGTTTTATTGCGTCCTTGGGAAATAGCTTGACAGAGCTTTGGAACCAGATGAGTTTTTATTTTTTGTTTCTTGTTCTATTTCTACAATGGAAGTGTTCAACAGCCAAAAGACCATATGATTACAAATAGACAACATAACAAAGATGGAACATAGTGTATCTTTTGATCTACAGGCAACAACACTCCCTTTACAGTGCCTCTACAATCCACACTCCATTCTTCTCAACCAGAGGTATGCATATATTGGAGTGTGTTAGAGGTAAATCTGTGTAAGTGTTTGTTGTTATCTTTAATTAGCTGACTTCAAATTCTGTCAATTCAAGGGTTGCTGTCTTATTAATTTTTTTATTGTTTGTTGTTTGAGGATTTTACCAGGTCAGAACTTGATGCTTGATAGTTTTGCTTTCAGGACTCAAGTTAAACCAGACTGTGAGGCCCAATAACTGTACCCCCAGTTGTTGGGCCTCAACTCAGGTATAAGTAGACCTGAGCACAGCCATCACATTGTCTTTTCCACAACTGCGCAAGCAGTGATAAGAGACACAACTTTTTCAGCGTTGAACTTTCTTTGTTCCTGAATACAGACTTTACTCGCTGGACGAACTACTCTGTTTTCTTCTTTTTGTTTATAAGGTTCTGTGCGGCTGCAGCCACTGTCGAGTTATGGTCGACATTCTCACAAACAGAGTTAACAAAGACCTTCCACGTTAAAGGCAAAAAAAACTTGAGCTAGTTATTGAAATGAGGGTGAAAGTCACAACACTAGCTAGCTAGTATGAAGCTAACTTCGTTCATGTTAATCCTAGCAATGCTTCACTTCCAGCTAAAAACGCATTTTCCCTTAATGTGTGTCCCTATGATAAAATATTGAGCCACTGTGGGATAATATCCCAAAGAATCTATTCAAAATGGCTCATATATTTCACATGTCTTACCTGTGTGCTGGCGCTAGTGCCTTAACTTTCAGATCAGTTTTTTCACTTTTGGCCCTGACTTTGCGTAGGGGGTGTGGTTTCAACGAAGAGGGTTGAGCGTTGAAGTAACTTTTACTAGCAGCCAAAACAGATGTTGTAACACGGTGGATCGATATATTTGACCATCAAAACCCGAGCGAATTACTCTTTTCCCAATCAGAATGTGATCCATTCGGTCGATAACATTTGAAAAGGCTACAACTGCTATCCACCATATGCATGTGATTGGCAGTAAACAAACTAATGCCGGTGACTACGTTCCCTTTAAAAAGTGGCTTAATGTTGTCATTGGTCGAGGTGGATCAAGTTTTAACTACTTCATTCACAGAAAGAAGAATCACCAGCGCCTGTTGATAAAAGAGACACTTTAATAAAACACAGACTGCAGTTTGTTCATGATGACAGGTGTGTTTGTATTAAAGAGGTGGTATTATGCTTTTTGGCTTATTCCCTCTCCTTCCCAAACCAAGCTAGTCTGAGCGGAGGCCCTTAGGCTCGACTCGCCTTTGTTTGGTTTTCCATTGTAGAAATGTTCCACCTGTACCTGCTTCCAGGTACTTTTTTTGTATCACCTCACCTCCCTCGAGGTTCCAAGCGAGCTGAGGGATACTAAAATGTAACGTGAAAACACGACAGACTGCTGATTGGTCAGAGAGAATATTCACTATTCACTGCATCATCATTACTGCAGTTTTATATTTTACAGTTGTCATATGGAATTTCATCACTAAATCCACTTCTGAGAAGTTTTGAGGTGAGAAATCAACTGTGTAGGTTTTGAATATTGACAGTTTTACAAGAAGTGATGGCGGAACAAAAATGTGCTTGAATATTTTTGGAGTTGAGGAGCTCCACAAGTGTCTGCGGGCGAAGCCTGTGCCAACGCGGGGGAGGAGCATGTGAGGCCGGCCAGACGCCCGCTCACAGAGCCCTCTGCTCCCGCTGTCACACAGACCGCTGCAGCAACAACGGCAGAGGAAGGTTTTCATACAGCTTATCTGTCTTTACATTCTGAGGAACGTTGAAACGTTTTAACCTAAAAAAGAGAAAGCTGTGTTGATCGCTGTTGTGTGTGTCGCATTGAACATCACTGCAGCAAGGTGAGAAGTAAAACCACTGAAGGTCGGCAAAAACAAGATGTTCAGGTTAACTTACTCTAAACTTCTTCTTCTTTGTTGGACATGTGTTGTACTTTCCAGCTGAGTTGTAGAGATCCAGGAAACGCGACTCCAGTAAAAAGCATCCAACAAATTGTGACGAGCAAGCCTCCTAAAACTTACATTTTACATGAATCACAAATATACATTTATTACATTGAATGTAGAAAATCAAATGGTTGCTCTACTCAGTGTGATTGACAGCAGAGATGATCAGAGGGGCAGAGTTTTTACCACCATTGTTTACACAAGGACAAAAGTATGGGTAGAGTTTCTCAGTGAAGCAGCAGCCAGTAAAGGAGTAGATAAGAGCTGCAGCATCAACGTCATAAAAGGAGACCAGACCCTCCTCATAATCCACAAACACCCCCACCTTCTCAGGCTGAGACTTCAGAGAGAGACGGACTGAAGGGCCAGCAAGAGCTTTGTACTCATTTTTATTCCTCAACCATATCATCCAGAAACCTTTCTGAGGACTCGCTGTGATGTTTCCTTTTCTGTTGATCGACTCTCTGGCCACTCCTAAATCCCAGTCAGTCTTCCCTTTAACCTGAACCTCGTAGTAAAATCTTCCTGAAGAGAAACTCTGCTTTGCTAAAACCATAACACACGGATCAAATCTCTCTGGATTGTCTGGGAGATTCTTCTTTTCATTACCATGTTTAACTTGTTTTCTATCATCAGACAGGATGAGTTTGGGACTTGCTGTATCAGGATCGAGTGTCACATCCACTGCATACTGCTGGACCCTCTTCAGCTCGGCCTCAGCGAGCAGCTTCTTCATCTGTTGACTGAGCGTCTCCTCCACTTGACTCACAGCTCTCACCACAGACCCCTCATATGAAGGTGGACGGACGCTGACTTCTGTCCAGTCCTTCATGGGTGGAGCAGCGTTCAGGGACGGGAGTCTTTGGAGGAGGTGGAGGTGGTCTTCAGAGCGTGAGAGCTGCTCCACCTCAGAGCTTCTCTTCTTCAGCTCAGAGATTTCCTGTTCCAGCTCTTTGATGAAGCCTTCAGCCTGTTTCTCTGTCTCTCTCTGCTTCTCTTTGATCGTGTCGATGAGCTCGGCCTGGCTTCTCTCAACAGACTCCTTCAGAGCGCTGAAGACCTGAACACCACCTGCTATCTCTCTGTCTGCATCTTCCTTACTGAGCTCCACTGAGCGTTTGATCTCCTGAATCTTCAGTCGTCTCTTCTGGATCATCTGCTGAGTTTCAGCCTCTGTCTTCCCCAGCTCGGCCTTCTTTCCTTCATATTCTTCTTTCAGAGGAACAACATCATGTGTCTTGTGGTCTAAAACAGTGCAGAGCACGCAGACACACATCTGGTCGGTCTTACAGAACAGCTCCAGCAGTTTATCGTGCTTCGTACACATCCTGCCTTCCAGGTTCTCCACAGGGTCGATCAGCTGATGTCTTTTCAGGCCTGCCATTGTCAGATGAGGCTCCAGGTGAGTCTCACAGTAGGAGGCCAGACACACCAGGCAGGACTTCAGGGCCTTCACTTTGGTTCCAGTGCAGACGTCACAGGGAACTTCTCCTGGTTTGGCAGCTTGTTGCTCTGAGCTGCTGCTGCTGGCTTTCTGTTGAGCTGACTGTCTGAACTGAGCAGCCATCTCAGAGATGAAAGTGTTGACCTGCAGCTCAGGTTCTGTGTTGAAAACCTTTTTACAGCTGGGACACTGATACAGGACATTAATATTCCAGTGTTCAGTGATGCAGGTTTTACAGAAGTTGTGTCCACATGATGTGCTGACTGGATCAGTGAACACATCCAGACAGATGGAGCACAGAAACTGATCTTCAGTCAGCAGACAGCTGGCAGCAGACATATCCACACTCTGAGGACAAGAAGGGTGCAAAAAATGATAAAGTTTAACATTGAATTGATGTTGGGATTGTTGTGGGCTTGAAGAGTGACCGTCAAGTGTTGTAGCCCACTGAGCCCACAGTTTGTTCTTACATGTGACCTCTTTTGTTTTACTTGACTGTTAGAGCATGCTGTAGACTGCAGTATAAGAAAAATTACAATAGAAGTCTCTAGTAACCATGCCCTTATAATCCTTCAGTGCCTTGCTCCAACTAAATCTACTACTGCCAAAAGAAGAAAATAACTAATCACACCTGAACCTGAAGGGCAACAAAACCTCACCTGCAGAACAGAAAGAGGTGGAGCAGCACTGGAAAAGCACGACAGTTTAAGTCTCACATGATCAAAATGAAACTAAACTTTTGTCTGAGTGTCAGCAGACCTGCAGTCGAGACAAGTCTGTTTCTTGTGAAAAGAAAAGTTAAACTGACTTAACAACACAGCAGAGTCTGCAAAACAAGTACAGTTACCAATATTTACTGTGTGTCAACAACATTAACACAAATCTATGACATCATATATTTTATCTGTTAAAACAGATGTAAACAGTCAGATTCTGGTTTGAACTAAACTTGCAATGCATTTTGGCTTTGTAGGGCCGTGTACTCACCAGGGTTTGGCAGAGATTCTGCTGTTTTGTTGAGAAAAACCTGATGGATTCAGTTGAAAGTATCTTTAGAGAGAAAGAGAGAGACTTGTCTCGATTGCAGCTCTGCTGTTGCTCAGACACACTTTCACTTTCATTTGAGGAAATGTGACGTTGCAGCTCTCTTTCCCTGTTTCTCCTCCTCTCAGTGCAGATCTGTAAGTGAGGTTTTATTGCCTCCTTGTGAAATACTTTGACACAGCTTTGGAACAAAATAAGTTCAGACTTTATGTTTCTTCTTCTTTCTACCATGGAAGTATACATAATTCCACATTAATGCAGCAGGAATATTAATCCAGGAACATCAGATATAATGGTGAAACACTGACAGGAACATTTTACTGCACTATGAGTACTTTTACTTTTCATACTCTTTTCTTAGTAGATTTTGCTGATAAAACTTACATTCTTTTACAAGAATGCAGGACTTTTACTTTAACTGGAGTATTTCGTTTCACATTATGGTTTACTTTTGCAAAGGATCTGAATACTACCCACAACTGGCAGTTCTTTTTGGAACATTTATTGGCCCCACAATGTTAAAGACCAAAGAAGCTTGTTTACAGGGACATGAGACACACTTGGGCCCCGTTTCAGAAATCGGGATTAGTGAAAATTCGAAGTATGTTAAGCCTGAGATGAGCGAAACTCTGAGTTTTTCTGTTTCAGAGAGCGAGATCAGATAAACCCTAGATCCCTAGATTTTATGTTTTATGTAAAGCACTTTGAATTACCTTGTTGTTGAAATGTGCTATACAAATAAATTTGCCTTGCCTAGATCAGCAACTCCGGCAACTGATGCTGTGAAGGTTCACAGGATAAGTTGAAAAACCGGCAGTTTCTCTCTAACTACTCCCCTCCTGCAGAGCCTGAGGCGGCTGTCTCATTAGTTTCATTTCCTCATTCATACTGTTATGATATCTGATATCAAAGCACATAACTGAACGCATTTACATCTTTAAAAACTTTAAAATCCTGGTTATTATCCTGCTTTTAGTTTTTTACCCAACCATGCAGTTTATCGTGCTTCGTACACATCCTGCCTTCCAGGTTCTCCACAGGGTCGATCAGCTGATGTCTTTTCAGGCCTGCCATTGTCAGATGAGGCTCCAGGTGAGTCTCACAGTAGGAGGCCAGACACACCAGGCAGGACTTCAGGGCCTTCACTTTGGTTCCAGTGCAGACGTCACAGGGAACTTCTCCTGGTTTGGCAGCTTGTTGCTCTGAGCTGCTGCTGCTGGCTTTCTGTTGAGCTGACTGTCTGAACTGAGCAGCCATCTCAGAGATGAAAGTGTTGACCTGCAGCTCAGGTTTTGTGTTTTTGTGTGAGATTTTGTGGCCCTTCCTTAGAGCGCGGGCTCTTGTTGGCTACTGTAGGATGTGAAAGGGACATGTAAGCTCGTACTGTGGTGTCACTCGAAAGGTTAGAGTTCAGCGGCTAATTTGAATACAAGCTATTATAAGCTTGTTTAGATTCAAATCGCAGTTATAATGACATACGAGCCACGTCTGCCGGCAAATATTAAACAATGAAGCAGCAGTCCCTGGGGATTTTGCGACTCTGTTGCCCCTCTAAAAAAGAAAATAATAAAACAAAGACGGTTAGCTCCATGGTATAATACTGAAACTCACAAATTAAAGCAAATATCGCGGAAACTTGAGAGGAATTGCCGTTCGAAAATTCTCGTTCAATTTGGCAAGATAGTCTTAAAACTTATAGGAAGGTAGCGTACTACTCGTCATTAATAGAGGAAAATAGGAACAACCCCAGGTTTCTTTTTAGCACTGTAGCCAGGCTGACAGAGAGTCACAGCTCTATTGAGCCAAGTATTGAATTATTATTCATTCATTATTAATACAGTTATGAAAATTAATATTTCCGGGAATATTAATTTATATCTCAAAATTTGAAGAGGTTTGCTAAAGATTTGCTTGTCCGCCCAAGGCTTTAGGTCCTTGAGTATAGCCTGCGAATTATACCAAGTTCTGGTAATTCATGAAATCATAAGGTCAATCAGTCAGTCTCAGATCTGAGCGTAAGTTCTATGTATAGGGACTCTAGATTCTGAATAACACACACACATACATCGCTGTGCTCAAGGTGAATTTATTAACTAACAAAAGAGGGTACAATAGTGGGTAAATGTGGTGATATTACAGGGATAACAGTTAATATGACAACCAAGAGGTACTAAAACAGGGTAGCCTATGTAAGGTTCGATTGAATTTCAGTTTATATTGTAGAGGGAGAGAATTCTACGAGTATGAGGGAACGAATGACTGAAATTGGGTTGCAGATTTAGTTTGACTATTCTAAGGGTTATTAACTGTGGATGGAGCCCCCATAGAACACCAACGAGTCACAGAGGATGGTTTGTTTTGCCCTACTGTTGCCGCAGGTCCTGTGGCGAGTCTCGACTGTCGGTTGGCTCGGGAAGTCGGTTCTGGCCCGACCCCAGTGGCGTTTTCGAGTTGGGTTGAAACCGGTGGATTGGGTCCGGAGTCCTCTTGTGGGAAGCGCTTGCAGCAACGGGCTGTCAGCCAAGGCTTTTGCTCTGATCTCAGTTCGTTTGGTGTCGCTATAGCGGCGCCGTGGTTTCATTTATTCAAGGCCATAAATGAAGGCTTCTGAGTTTCTGGTCCAAAGTGGCTCACAACGGTCGGATGAGGTTGCAACAACAAAATCAAATAAACTCACACATTCGCCGTAGGTTCACGAGGCCTCGGGAATATAGGTTATTTAATGTTGCTGAGATTAAGCAGGCAGCTCCAAATAGAATAAACAAAAATTAAATCTCCCGAATTCAGGGTCGTAGCTTTCTCAGCTCGTCTGAAGTACGAAACAAAAAAATCGGAAATTCAAAAGTAAAGGAAGTTTAGAGAGCGTATACGTTTAGTTTCAAGAAAGTTTAAAAGAAGAGTTTTTTTGAAGAGGCAAGAAGCGAACAAAAGACAGCAGGGCCTTTTTATTGATCCCGCTAGGTAGTGTGACGTCATTTTGGGGATGGCCTCCCAAACGTCGCTAAGGTGTTAACTTTTTGGGATAAAGAAATATAAGTTGCACGTATTTCCCTTTAATCTCTCTCTCCACAATATCGACATTTGGAAAAATACTTAGTTCTAAATTCGGATAAAGACAGGCTAAAAACAAGGCTAAAAACAAGGCTAAACACTATGGAAAAAGGTTATAATGGTTATATAAAACGTAAAAAAGCTTGATTACCTGTCCTCAGCATACTTGCTGGTTACTGGTTTTAACTCATTAGACAATTTAGATGTAAGTGTGACAGTAAAATTTCGTTTATGCAATTACATGGTGATTGCTGCTAGTCTTCAAACATCACTAAAGAATAACAACAGGGTTATTACTTACTAAACTCAGAGGCGAACACCGCTGCTCACTTAGCAAGGTTATTATTTAAAGAGAATAAACACAGTTATAATGGAACCTTGCTTGGTTCGAGAAACAGGGGTTTTTATGGTCTCTCTTCTCTGCATTCCTGGCTTATCGCACCGGTTATCAGAGAATGAAATGGTGGTTTATGGCTCAGCCGTTATGTGGAGAGAAAAGAGTCAGGTTGAGGCTGGAGGTGACCTGCGGGAGGGAGAAGGGGTCAGATCGCCCCTTTTCCTGTCCTGTGAACTGTCTTTAGTGACACCTTTATGGCTAGAAAGTTCAGTCCTTACGAAACACAAGGCGATGTCTCTGGGTTTTACGTGTGAAAAGGTCAACTCTTGGGGAGGGAAACTTCCCTCCCTCTTTTGACACCATCTGACCTTCTTTGAAGTGCGTCTGGTTGAGTTCACAACACCTATATCTAACCTTCCATTTCTCTCTAAGATCCAGGAGAAAGCAGTTGCCAAACAGCTGTGTGACATTCTACAGAGCAATTTAGAGCTCATTATAGCACAGAGATATCACTGGTGAAAATTAATAACAACCTCCTTATTGCATCAGACTTGTCTCTGTACTGGTTTTATTAGATCTTAGCGCTGCATTTGATACCATTGACCATCAGATCCTATTACAGAGGCAATATTATCAGGAAACACTCCATAAACTTTCATTGTTATGCAGATGATGCTCAGTTATATCTATCGATCAAGCCAGATGAAACTCATCAGTTAGCTTAACTTCAAATGTGCCTTCAGGATGTTAAAAGCTGGATGACCTGTAATTTTCTAATGTTAAACTCAGATAAACTGAAGTTATTGTTCTGGGGCCCAATTCCACTTTATCAACACAATCTTTTATCTGTACAGTCAGATTCTGCTTTGACAGTCAGATTCTGGTTTGAACTAAACTTTGTCCAAATACTGAGTCAGTGCATTTTGGCTTTGTAGCGTCGTGTACTCACCAGTATTTGGCAGAGATTCTGCTGTTTTGTTGAGAAAAACCTGATGGATTCAGTTGAATGTTTCTTTAGAGAGAAACGGAGAGATTTGTCTCGACTGCAGCTCTGCTGTCACTCAGAGAAACTTTCACTTTGATTTGAGCAAGAGAGGTTTTATTGCCTCCATGGGAAAAAACTTGACACTGAAACAAGATGAGTTTGTTCTTTTTGTTTCCTCTTTTTTCTGCAATTAAAGTATAGCCTACATACTTACACATTAATGCAGCAGTAGATTAATCCAGAAACATCATTAAAACTCTGACAGAAACATTTTACTGAGTACTTTTACTTTTCATACTCTTTTCTTACTAGGCTACATTTTGCTGATAATACTGACATACTTTTACAAGAATGCAGGACTTTTAGTTGTAGTGGAGTACTTTCCAGTATGGCATCTGTGATTTTGAAAATAGTAAAGAAAAAAACACATCTTTACGAGATGTGAGAACTCTTACGTTCGTGTGTCTGTGAAAACAGGGATTTAAATCCATGTATGGTTCATTCTTTCATTATTTTGTTTCAAACCAAAAAACCAAGATGTTGTTTTGTTTTTCTGTCGAAAAATATTGATTTTGATATTTGGACCATATTGAGTCCAATTTGTGTAGCTGTTGTGTGTTACACTTGATAAATCTGCAGCAGATAGCCTACACTTGGGCGATGACAGTGCCTGATTAAATGTTGCCTAATTA